ACTGAAGTTCTGCTTCCTTCTGAGAGCCCCTGCACTCATGTAGATTTATTACTCTTTGGTAGTAATTGTTCAAGAAGTGTATCTGGCATTTATGTTGCATAAGGAAAATGTGGTGGTTGGGGGCAATAAGGAATTCAAGTCAACAAGTGGCTCTGATACCAAATGTGTTTTTCTTAACAAATTATGTATCGGCAAATAGTGCCCCTCTCTGCCAGGATCTGTATTTCACTCCGACATCCCAAGCATGTTATCCTAGTTTTTCTCTCTCTGGCAACTCAACCAGAGCTGTCACATCACAAACAACTTTTTCCTTAATATACACATCTGGCGTTGGCAGTTGGACCAACTTCATAAGAGCACATGATCATCATTCATTACAAGATTAAAAAGTACCCCATGGCATCATTGATGTTTTTTAACTTTGATCTTTTGCAGTTGTGATTCATCTCAGTTATAAAACTTCCCTTTAAAGGAACACAACCGATGACTTATTAGAACCTTCGTTCTAAGTAGCGTAAACATAAAATTATGCACATCTTTACAAAATGTCATTTACTTTGTTGCCAGCTTATCATTTTAAGACATGACATCATGCTTTAGATCGTGAATTTGTAAGGCTTGTTTATAGGCAAGGCACTCTGACCTTCTCTTGGCAAGTTGACTCGAGCGAACGCATGCTGCGTGCTTTCCAGCAGCAGCAGGAGCAGCAGCAATGCTGTGACAGATATCACAATCATTTAGAGCCTGACTTTAAGAGTGCTGAACAGTCATGGCATGCAGTGACTCCAGTTGGTGTTTTGGATGCTCAGCACTTCAGAAAGTCACATTCTTAAATGTAAGTGCCATTTAGTTGTATTAAATATATGCTTGTAGAAGCTTGCTGCCTTGCCTCTATGTTATTATTTTAAAATACTTTAATAGAGACAGTGATGTCAGGTTGCTCTGTTAGGAAAACCGTCCCATTTCTATATGAGAAAAGGTCTTGTGATGGTTTTTTCCTTGGAAAATATTCATTTATTTTTAATTATAATTATCTATGTCAGTCTCTCTAGATGACCATGCAGGGACATCTACTGTTTTGCACAGTCTTTGTGCTGGACTGAGACAGGACGTTGCACTCTGAGTGATAGAGTCTAGAGACAGGGTTGTATAAGATCTTTGGGAGTCATTGGGAAATCCTGCAGATATTTTTCACTCCTCACATCCAGGATAAAACCTCTGCCATATACACATCTTAGCCAGCAGAGCTGCCTTCCAGCTGGGAGGGCTGAAAGAAGTTTTCCTGAGAAATAAGTTCTCAGACAGTCATAACTAACCAACAGATAGAAAGAGATCACTGTAAAGGGGTTAAAAGAAGAAAAAAAAAAAGAAAAAAGAAAAAACCCCAAACCTTTGCTTAAGCCCCTCTTTAATGCTTTGCCTTACCTCATTACAGATACAGAAATAATGCTTTGCCCTTCCGTAGTGGTACTTTTAGGACAGGAGACATGTCCTCCTTTCTGGCTGTTTTTAGTAGAAACCCAGTCAGGAGGGAAATCATAAGGGAGGAAGGAGGAAAAGTCTATACATTTTTATATTTTGCCTGGCTTCCAAAGACTTTACTTTGTCTCTAATTAGAGGGAGTCTCCAAAGTCACTGACCACAATTTTCTTTATCATCAGCTTGAATGGAAAAGTGGTTCTGAGCTTTGAACTTAAGTGTTTCGGTAGGAGAAGAACTGTTCTGTTTCATTCAGCTCCCGAATATTTCTCGGCCGCTGCAGTTTGCAAGGTGCACACGTGATGAAAGGTATGAGCAAACATCGCCTTTTTGTCTGTGCACGCTGCAGAAGCCAGTGAGAGCCAGCGAGAGGTTCTGCTCAGCCTTTGTGTTAACTGTTTGGCCCACTCGGCTTATAAAACACAGATAAGTGATTGAGATTTTTGAGATTCCTCGACTTAAAACCATAACAGTTTTTAAGAAGTTCTCCCTCTTTTCTTTCAAAGACGGAGGGTGGAGGGATAAGTCTGGGGCTAGTGGAATGTGCTTTGGAGTAAAACAGCTTTAAATCTTTCAGTATTTTTTTTCTCCTTTTTTTTTTTTCTTTTTTCTTCTTTTTTTTTCTTTACTTTTTTTTTCTTTTTTCTTTTTTTTTTTGTTGACTGCCTGTCAGGAGCTGGGCTGGTGGCCAAGCAGGAAATGACACATCGAGAGGCATTTGTGTTGTGCAACATTTTGTGGAACTGATGCAAGGATACATTGTCTGTTTACGCATTCCTCTGCTAACAGCCTGCATGGCAGTAATTTTATTCAGGGACACATGGCATGCTACAGCGAGGAGCGAGATCCTTCACATCTCTTTATGCAGAATTATCACAGCAGTTCAAAAATGCTGTGTGTCCCCCCCTCCCCATTTAGAATATTTTCTGGCTTGCCTTCAAAACCCACTTTGCCAGCTCGCCTTCCTTCCCAAGAATATATTGATTTAACTGTGGTTTTTTGCACTGTTGTAAATTGGGGCAGTGCAGAGAGAGAGAAAGTTTGCAGAACGAGAAGAGATTTTACAGGCAGGTCCCAACTTTGTGAATTTACCTCAGACTGTAGATGTAGCATCACAGTTTTTTCAAGCGACGCGTTGCAGACACCGAAGACGGAAGTTTGCATCTGCACGCGTTTTGGCACCGCGAGGAGGTTTTTAATTAAAGTCAAGATGATAAGATGAATGAGTCCTGGGTTTTCATCCAAACTGAAGTTAAAAAATCTGTGACTCGCTCCGCTGTCTTTCAGAGAGACAAATCTCTACTGAGATCGGCTGGGTTATTCCGGATTTCTCCCAGCGTAAGTGGGAGCAGAGGAAGGCAGAGTGGGCGGTCTGGCGGTTTGCAAGTTGCTCTAAATGACTTTG